AATGGCAGCAAATTTCACAAGCCTGAAGGAGAAAATACAAATCCAGATCCAGGAAGCCTAAATGGCATCAAGTAGGATGAATTTAAAGAGATCCATATCAAAACATATTACAATCAAAGTGTCAAAAATGAAAGACTAAGAGAGAGTTTTGAAAGTGGCACGGGATAAGTAAATTGTTATATGCAAGTAAACTTTCCTAATATTATCAGAGGATGTTTCAGGAAAAAAAAAACTTGCTAGCCAGAAGGGAGTGGGATGATATATCCAAAAACCTGAAAAAAAAGAATGTTAACCAAGACTACTATACCCAGCATCCCTCTCTTTCAAAAATGTTGGATGATAAAAACTTTCTGAAACAACAAATGCTGAGTTTACCACTACTCAACTCATCTTACAGGAAATGCTAAAGAGAGTTATTCAAGTTAATGAAAGAGAATTCTAATTAGTAACATGAAAATATATGGAAGTATAAAATCACTGGTAAAAGTAAGTACACTGTCAAATTCAAAATACCCTTATACTGTAATGGCAGTGGGTAAATCAATTATATCTCTAATATAAAGGTTAAAAGGCAAAACTATCAAAATACAACTAAAACGACAGTGACTTTTTATGAATAAAAATTATTTTAAAATGTAAACTGTAACATCAAAAACACAATACATGGGAGGAGTAATAGTAAAAGGACAAAGTTAATATTTGCAATCAAGGCTAAGTTGTTATTAGCTTAAAATAGCCTGTTATAAGATGTTTTATGTAAGCATCAGGGTAACCACAAAGCAAAATCCTATAATAGAAATACAGAAGACAAAAAGAGAAGATACAAAAAAAGAAGATAAAAGACATACAACTACAGAAAGCCATCAAACCACAAAATAAAATGCTGAGGAAGAAAGAAACACAGGATGTACAAAACAATAAGAAAATAACTAACAAAATGGTACAAATAAGTTATTACAAATCAATAATTACTTTGAATGTAAATATATTAATTACCCAATAAAATGCCATAGAGTGGCTAAATGGACATTTTAAACACCATAGCAAGACTCAGTATATGCTGCCTACAAGAGACTCACTTTACATTTAATGACACTTAGACAAAAGTGAAGAGATAGAAAAAAATAATTCCATGCTAATGGAAACAAACAGAGACAGGGGTAGCTATAATATTTTCAGGCAAAATAGGCTGTAGATCAAAAATTGTCAAAAGAAACAAAGAAGATAATTATATAGTCAATAAAGAGGTCAATAAATCAAGATGATATGACAATTACAAATATATATATGCACCCAATATCAGAGCATTTACATATACAAAGCAAACATTAAGAGATCTGAAGGGAGACAAACACTGCAACACAATAATAGTAGAATATTCAATACTCCACTTTCTACATTGGATAGATCATTCCACAGAAAATCAATTTTTTTTAAATGATTGGACTTGACCTACACTTTAGCCCAAATGGACCTAACAGATATGTACAGAACATTCCACCCAACAGCAACAGAATATCAATGTATATATGTATGTATTACATTTATAATCTGTATTATGTACATAGAATAAATATAAATTTATAAATACATTGCATTTATATTCTGTATATACATTATATCTTATATACATTATAATGTATATGAAAATGTATGAATGTATATTTTGTTGCTGTTGAGTGGAATATACATTCTTTTCAAGTTCACACAAAACATTCTCCAGGATAGATATTATGCTAGACCACAAAATAAGTCTTAACAAATTTAAAAATATCAATATCTTATCAAGCATGTTTTCTAATCTCAAGAGTGTGAAACTAGAAATAAATAATGGGAGAAATAGAAAATAAAAATATGTAGAAATTAACATAATACAGAACAACTATTGAGTCAAAGAAGAAATGTTTAAAATTTTTTTTAAATATAGAGACAACAAATGGAAACACAACATATGAAAACCTTGGAGATAAAGTAAAAGTAGTTAGAGGAGAGAAGTTTATAGCAATAAACACCTGCATTAGCAAAGAAGAAAGATCTCAAATAAAAAACTTAACATTACAGTTCAACAAATTACAAGAACTAAGCCCAAAGTTAGCACAAGAAAGGAAATAACAAAGACCACAGCAGAGATAGATGAAATAGAGACTAGATAATCAAGAGAAAAGATCAACTAAGGTAAATGTTGGTGTTTTCGAAAACTAAACAAAAGCAATGAAATCTTAGCTAGACTAAGAACAAAGAGTGAAGCAACAAATTAAGAGAGTTAGAAATGAAAGAGGAAACATTAGAAATGATAACAAATAAATACAAATGATCATAAGAGACTGCTAAGAACAACTATTCACCAACAAATTGGACAACCTAGAAAAAATGAATAAATTCCTAAAACATATAACCTACCAATACTAAATTATAAGAAAATTTGAAATCTGAACAGATCAAGAACAAGTAAGGAAACTGAATCAATAACTAAATCTCTCATACAACAGGCCCAATTCCAGCAGATTTCTGAAAAAGATAAAGTGAAATTGTTTGTCTGCTGACAACATGATCTTGTATATAGAAAATCTTAAAGACCCACCAAAAAGCTGTTCTAACTGATGAACAAATTGAGTAAAGCTACAGGATACAGTTGCAGAATACAAAATCAAATATCAATAGTATTACTATACACTAACAATAAACTGTCTGAAAATAAATTAAGAAAATCTCACTTATAATAGTATAAAAAATAAAATGCTTATGAATAAATTTAACCAAGGCATCAGGATATCTGTATACTGAAAACAGTAAAACATGGATAAAAGAAACTAAATATGACACAAATAAATGTAAAGGTATTTCATGTTGATGGATTGAAGAATTAATTTTGTTAAAATAGACATACTACAAAAAGTGATCTACCAATTCAATGCAATTCTTATCAAAATTCAAATGTCATTCTTTGCAGAAATAGAAAAAGAAATTCTAAAATGCATATGGAACCACAAAATAACCCAGGAAGCTAAGAAGGTCTTGACCAAAGAGAACAAAGACTGAAGCATCAGACTACCAGATAAAAATATACTGCAAACTGATAGCAATCAGAACAGCATGATACTGCTATTACAAACAGGCACATCAACCAATGGAGTAGGATAGAGTGTTCAGAAATAAACCTGTCTATCTACAGCCAATTGATTTTCAACAAGGGTACCTAGAATACACAGTGGGGAAATAATTGTCTCTTCAATAGATGTTGGTGGGAAAACTGAATATTTTCATACACAGAATTAAAATAGACCCTTGTCTCACTCCTTATACAATAATCAATTCAAAATGGATTAAACACTTGAGTATAAGATCTGAAATCAGAAAAATTATAGGAGAAAGCTCTATTGATCTGGGCAGTGATTTCTTGGATATGAACTCAAAAGCATGGGCAACCAAAGCAAAAATAGACAAATAGTATTTCATCAAGATAAAATGTTTCTGCACAGTAAAAAGTTAATAGACTGAAGAGACAACCCACCAACTGAGAGAAAATATTTGCAAATTATACATTAGATAAGAGGCTAGTATCCAAAATATACAGAGAACTCAAACTACTAAATAATAAGAAAACAAATAAGCCTATTAAAAAGGGCAAAGGACTTGAATAGATCTTTCTAAAACAAGACATAAATGCCAACAGATATAAAAAAAATGCTAAACAAATATAATCATCAGAGAAATGCAAATTAAAACCACAATGAGAGATTGGCTATCATCAAAAAGACAAAAGATAACAAGTCTTGGCAAAGATGTGAAGAAAAGGGAACCCTTATACACTGCTGATAGTATTATAAATTAGTATGGCCATTTTGGAAAATAATATAAAGGATCTGCAAAAAGTTAGAACTAAATTTCCCATATAATCCAACCATCCCACTACTGAGTATATGCCCAAATGAATTGAAATAAGTATTGGAAGAGATGCTTACACTACCATGTTCATTGTAGCATTATTCACAATGGACCAGATATGAAAACAACCTAAGTGTTAATCAATGGATGAATGGATTTTTTAAAGAGTGGTATACACATACTATACAATACTATTCAGCCTTTTAAAAACCCAGGAAATTCTTTCATTTTTGACAACATGGATAAGCCTAGAACACATTATTAAGTGAAATAAGCCATGTTCAAAGAGACAAATACTGCATAATCTCACATATATGTGGTATCTAAAAATATCGAACTTAACAGAGGTAGAGAGTAGAATGGTGGTGGTTACCAGAGGTTGGAATTGGGCGAAGAGTGGATGAGAAAAGGGAGAGATTGATCAACATCAGTGAGGTAAGAGAAATAAGGTATGATGTTCTATTGCACACACAGTGACTGTAGTTGATAATAACATATTGTGTATTTCAAAACATCAACAAAAAAGGATTTTAACTGTCCTCACCATAAAGAAATTATAAATATTTGAGATGATAGATATGCTAATAAGCCTGATTTTATCATTTCACAGTGTATAAATGTATTGAAACATCCCATTGTAGCCCATAATTATATACAATTCCTTTTTCTTAATTAAAAATACAATAAACCTTTAAGGAAAAAAATAATGATTAAAGAGCAATTTAGAGTAAAGATGTCATTTACTTCATTCGTGGTCCATTGATCCCATCTTCACCCATCACATCATCCTTTCCTTGTGAGCAAGAATATGGCTTCAAAGCCATCCCCATACAGTGTTCCAGCTGTCATTATCAATTGACCAGAGTCAAGATACAAGCTGAAACCTATTTCGCTATCTCAGGGTTGGAGTTTCACCCACTCCAGGTGAAATCTATTTTTAAGACATTTCACAAACCATGTGTAAAGGGAGGAAGGGTTACCAGCAGTGATAGGGAGGGATAGCATAAAAGTGACTAAGAGGATTTTTGACACAGTGAACTTACCCTAACAGTAAATTGAGAAAGGTTAACTACGGGCAGTCAGAGGGAATTCAGATTTTCAATAATACCTGAAAGTCAAACAAAAACAAAACCCAAAATATCTCAAAACATCTCGGGCTCCCATGCTCCCTGGTGTGTTCTCTCCCTAATGTCTTTTGTGTTTATTCCTAAAATGTACCCTAGATTTAAAAAATGAGAGCCAGGCTTCAGGAGATGAAATTCTACATCTCAGATACATAGAACGTCTCAGTGCCTGTAGCCCAGGCAAGCTGCAGTGATCATGAGTAAAATTATAAACTTCATGGAGAACTGGTAGCCTCAGGAAGAAGCTGTCAACCCGAATTAAGTCGTCAACGTATCAGATGAGAAAGGTACTGCCATAAAGCCTATTGTTGCATGCATGTCAGGTGAAGGCCATACTAATTACTGTGTGATCCAAATATGTCTGTTCCCAACTCCTCCCAAACTAAGGTCACTGAGTTATTATGGCCTGGTGGTTTGCACTATTTTGGATTCTGCCAAGTGGCAGGTGGCCTGACAAACATGCGACTCAGCATGTTTTGTTGGGTCCCCACAGCTGTGCTGCCAATCAGTTCAGGATGGCTGCAAGTTAATGCTAATTAGCTTCTGTTGATCTGCATATTCCAACAGCCTCCCAGGATTCCCATTTTGACATGCAAGATTGCCAGTTGGGTATGTGATTGAATTAAGAAGCAAAAAAGATTTTAGTTTCCATGCAGGGATATGCGGATCTGAATCCCCAGCAGAAGCTGTTACCCTTTTGATTTATGGTTTGGCAGCTCTGGCCTTCAGCATGGGAGCATGGGCTCTAGGCTAGAGGGTGCTACCCCCCTGCTTATGGAAACAACACCGATGCCTTAACCTCCTAGCACTATTAGGAGTAAACATTCTTTCCATCTGCTCTGTGAACTGGCACTGGCAGTTTATATGGGCAAGGAATCTATAGTTTTCTGTTTGGTTCAAATCCATTTAATTCAAATAATCTAAACAAAAATGTAACAGTAAAGAATTATTTCCTGTGGTATACAAAAAGTACTAATTTCAAATTGTCACTTTCAAACTCATTGGGTATCTTTGAATAAACTGCTTCACCTTCCTGGTCCTCGGTTTCTTCAATGCAATATTAGGATGTAATGCTACAGTCTAATTGGAAGAGAGAAAGTATACGTCAAGGATAGCAAAACATCTGACACGTGAGCTCTTGGATATTTTAATATATTTTCCATCATTAAAAAAATAGGAAAAGCTATCCAGTGCCTTCTCTGTGCCAGCATTTCGCACATGGCTGGAGATTCAAATATGAACAAAAAATTATTCACTCCCCTCCAGGAGTACATAGTAAACAGATAATTACAATTTGATAAATAAGGTTCGTTCCAACAGCTATATTCTATAATTCTATTCCTCCTTTCTTTCTGCTGTGACAACATGGGAACACCACGAGCTTCTGGCTCCAACACTTAATAGCTTTGTTTCCTTGAGTATGTTGCTTAACTTATCTGAGCCCATGTTTCTCCTTCTGTAAAAACAATATGCTCCACATAGCACTGTTGAGTAAGTTTAATGAAATAATGCTTGTTAAAGCTACTGACACATAGTAGGCATTCAGTAAATGGTATTTCCCTGATGTTTTCTTTTTTAGTGGATACTATTAGGATCACATGAGTCCAATAAATTCTGGGGTGAAGGATAGAGGTGGAAGAAAAGGAGGTAGAAGATTTCAGCCTTGCTAAGAAAGGAACTCAGCAGGAAACACTGCACTATGGGGGCTAATGTATTTAGATTTTGCACCTGTATTTCATCAGGGCAATAAAAATATGATCTCACTGGGTAAACATTACAAAACAATTTTCAAAAGTTTTACTTGGCTACAGCCTTAGAAAGTTCCGCTTCCCTGAAGTGATTAAATAATATTTCTTGGAAAACATTTGCTAAACATAATTTTAAGGAAAAGTTTTTTTCTCATTTTTATATAGTTGAATTTGAGGGTCTCAATTGGATTTTTGTAGGAAAAGTTACTAAAACTGTTGCTATATTTACATTTTATATTTATTACATATTGTATATTTTCATATTTGTGTGTATATAAATATGTATGTCACAATTTTCTATGTATATGCATATAACACATATGAGCATATGTGTCTATATATAGTGTATGCATTTAAATTGTGCATCTATGTATATATAAATTTATGTTCATTATGATTTGAGAATGGAGTGCATGGATATACATATGCATGTGCTTTATAATATGACACCCATATTTATCATTTATTTAGGCATATATTGTAGTGGTTAAGAGCACAGACTCTGAAATCAGGCTTAAATTTGAATTTCAACTCTATCAGTTACTGCTATGTGAGTATAGGCAAGTTATTTAATCTCTGCACCTCAGTAAATTTATCTGTAAAATGGAGATAACAATTGTACCCACGACAAAGATTGTTGTGAGTATTAAACAGATTAACATAATGAAAATTTTTAAAACTAAACTTGGCAAATAAGAAACTCTATTTTATATTATTATTGTTATTGTTATTGTTATTCTTAGGACTATGTGTTATTGTTATTTTTCATTCATTTATTTGTTCTGAATCACTTGTAAGCTTTTTTCATTTGTTTTTCTGCTTAAAGCCTCAATGAAAGGAAATTTTCAAAAGGTACTATCCGAACTTGTGGAATTTCTGTTTTGCAAGTGATAGATACTTTAATTAAATTTTGAAGCACATTATGTCTTTGTTTTGAGAAGAATCATCTGGATATGTGTATTCAGCTATGCAAATATTAATGTAACTACTCTCAATCCCACCCCACCTTATTGCCATCCTCCTTGTTGGAGATAAAAGAATAACCTGAATGCATCTGTCTTAGACTGAATGAAGAAATGTGCTACTTGGCAATGCAAATTGAATGTATGTTTTAGCAAAGCTATTTCCTTGCATACTTTGTTGCTACTTATTGCTTGTTTTGATCAAGATGCATGATCAAAAGAGATTAGTAACAGAGACTTCATAATTATAGGAAAAGAAATGCAGCCCCACCATTTAACTCAAGCTGTTGGAGAAATTGGACAAAATGGCTGAGTGAGCTTGGTACAAGTCAGATGGGACTGGATTGGATGCCTCACTCTTTCCTTTCCTAGTGATGCGAACTTGGTCGGTGAATTCAGGGGTAAAATGCCTGAGATTTTCAAACAGTATTGATGTTGGACTGTTTCCCTGTTGCATCATTGTCTTGTGGTGGCCACAGGGCCAGACAGCACCTCTGCTGATGAAAGGTGTAGTTTTCTATAGAGAATGTGGACATTTACACAATCATCCTGGGAAAAATGTAATCCTTGGTCTGAAATGAGGAAGGGTAGAAAATTATATATTCTGTGGCTCTTGATTTGTTTCTTTAAGAAATCCATTTAACTGGCCATACTGCCCAAAGTAATTTATAGATTCAATGCTATCCCCATCAAACTACCAATGACCTTCTTCACAGAACTGGAAAAAAAACATCTTAAACTTCATATGGAACCAAAAGAAAGCCCACATAGCCAAGACAATCCTAAGCAAAAAGAACAAAGCTGGAGGCATCACACTGCCTGACTTCATACTATACTACAAGGCAACAGTAATCAAAAAAGCATGGTACTGGTACCAAAACAGAAACATAGTCCAATGGAACAGAACAGAGGCCTCAGGAGTAATACCATACATCTACAACCATCTCATCTTTGACAAACCTGACAAAAAAAAGCAATGGGGAAATGATCTGCTGTTTAATAAATGGTGTTGGGAAAATTGCCTAGCAATGAGCAGAAAGCAGAAACTGGACCCCTTCCTGACACCTTACACTAAAATTAATGCCAGATAGATTAAGGACTTAAACATAAGACCTAATGCCATAAAAACACTAGAAGAAAACCTAGGCAAAATCATTCAGGACATAGGCTTAGGCAAGGACTTCATGACTAAAACACCAAAAGCAATGGCAATAAAAGCCAAAATAGACAAATGGAATCTAATTACACTTCAGAGCTTCTGTACAGCAAAAGAAACAATCATTAGAGCGAACCAGCAACCAACAGAATGGGAAAAAATTTTTGCAATCTACCCATCTGAAAAAGGGCTAATATCCAGAATCTACAAAGAACTAAAACAGATTAACAAGAAAAAAACAAACAAACCCATCCAAAAGTGGGCAAAGGATATGAACAGACACTTTTCAAAAGAAGACATTTATATAGCCAACAAACATGAAAAAATGCTCATCATCACTAGTCATTAGAGAAATGCAAATCAAAACTGCATTGAGATACCATCTCACTCCACTTAGAATGGCGATCATTAAAAAATCTGGAGAAAACAGATGCTGGAGAGGATGTGGAGAAATAGGAACACTTTTACACTGTTAGTGGGAGTGTAAGTTAGTTCAACCACTGTGGAAGACAGTGTGGCGATTCCTCAAGGACCTAGAAATAGAAATTCCATTTGACCCAGCAATCCCATTATTGGGTATATGCCCAAAGGACTATAAATCATTCTACTATAAAGACACATGCACACGTATGTTCATCGCGGCACTGTTTACAATAGCAAAGACCTGGAACCAACCTAAATGCCCATCAATGATAGACTGGACAAAGAAAATGTGGCACATATACACCATAGAATACTATGCAGCTATAAAAAAAACGATAAATTCGTGTCCTTTGTAGGAATGAAGCTGGAAACCATCATTCTCAGCAAACTGACACAAGAACAGAAAATCAAACACCGCATGTTCTCAATCATAGGTGGGTGTAACAATGAGAACACGTGGACACAGAGAGGTGAGCATCACACACTGGGGCCTGTTGCGAGGGGCTAGTGGAAGGACAGTGGGAGGGAGGGTGGGAAGGGATAACATGGAGAGAAATGTCAGATATAGGTGATGGGGGGGATGGAGGGAGAAAACCACCTTGCTATGAATGTACCTATGCAACAATCTTGCATGATCTGTACATGTACCCCAGAATCTAAAGTACAATGAAAAATAAAAATAAAATAAAATTTAAAAAATGGAATGAAAGTTAG